TGTCTCTTTCAACCTTTACGTTATGTGAAGGTTCCTTAAACTTTAATAAGGCTTTTCAGTCTCACACATCCCATTTACAGAAATGGTTTTTGAAGAACCGTCCACTGGAAGCTGTTTTGAGACCCAAAAGTGCTTCTACTCTCACATCGTGCAAGGAGCCCTTTTTTTGGCAGCCTTTTAAGAGTGTAGGAGGAAGAAAAGTTAGTGTTTTGATGGTTAAGTTACCACAGAGCCATAAATAACAGACTCACATACAGTTCTGTACAAAAGTCATGCCCTTTATTTATTTAATTTCTAGTCGTAACTGCCATTAAGTACAAGCTTGAGATTGGAACAAAGCTAATACTCTACCTATTTCAACCTTTGCAAGTAGTATATTAGACTTCGTAGTCTGGGTGTCCAACTGAGATGATGCAGTATGGTGATTTCTCTGCTTGAACTGACCTGATTCAACTCCTCTAAATAGGTTTAGGTTTAGTAAGTGTGTTGAAGCAGAGAAATCCCAAAACAGTAAACTCCAGCTCCCCTGAGTCCTGAATTAGGCACCATTGTTGTAATCAATTAATGCTAAATCCTAGAATTTCTAGACTCAAATAACAAATCACAAGTCACTGAACAGGAGCATTCATGTTAACAGTCATGCATTTTCAAGCTAATTTTGACTGCAGTTCAGTCTCTGTATAGTATTTATCAGTCATAGATTTTCTCCACTTCTTAAAACAATGTCTTAAAGGGGAATTCCACTGATTTATAAACCATTTCTGCATAATTAAATGGTTAAGATGTAAACAGAGTCATTCAAAGTGGTGTGATGTGAAATGCTCTGATCTAGAGAAACTTAATGAGTCAGAATTGCTCACAGTGGTGGTGATGGGAACCAGACGTTTGAAGAGTTTAATGGCTCTAAAAGCTGCCTCAGATAAAGTTAGTACGCTATGTGGTGATGAATGCACTGCCTGATGTCTAAGACATTGTTTTGCGATAATTATGAGAGAAGATTTTGGCCTAAAATGTGTATTTTTTAAAAGCTATTCATGGTGGAGGGGTACAAAAAAACATATTTTCTTCAGATATATAACTATTTTACCGTCATCATCATTACATATAACAACCCAGGGGACACATGTAAGTACACAAAATGGGTAAATACAGTGGTTAGATTTGTGTTGTAGACATTGTGACCTCTGGTTCCTATTACCACCACTGTAAAGATGTCTGAGTTGGTATGTTTTTCTATAATGCACATGAAGCCACTCTAAATGTGTTGGTTTCTATTGCACCAAAATAATTATGCAGAAATTTTGAAAAACTCATCTGTAATGAGGGTATTTTGCCATCATAATCCAGTGAAGCGTGTGAAGCATGCAGTGTCTAGAATGTTTAATGCGCAATCCAGGCATTCTCAACCCTGCTTTAATGTAATCTGTGTTTAAAAAAGGACGTCTGCTTAGTCTCTCTAGACCAGAGCATTTCACATCAAACCACTCTTTGATTTAGCACAAATTTTGAAAAATTGGTGGAATTACACTTTAAGGTATGGTAACAGTAAATGGCACAAAACTGCTTGCTTTAGCTTTTGTCTTCAAAGTTTGACAGCATTTTAACTATGCTGAATATGCAATAGTAGCATTAACTATGTGGAATATGCAATAGTAACACATTCTGTTGACTTCCTAAGTGAAAAAAATTACACATCTCTATAGAGAACACACTTCTGCACACTTTAATCACAGTTTCTGTTTGTTCAGTGAGTTTACCATATTTGAAAAAATAACATAAAATAAAAAAGTGTGCCGTAACATTTGCACAGGGCACATTTTGTTTTAATTTATTCTAATCATGTTAAATTCAGCAAAAATACCCCAGCATTTATGCATTAAAATGTGCAGAAATGTGTTCACTGTTAACTTATTTTTACTTAGAAATTCAACAAAACATGTAATTGGGCCAGGGGTGCCCAAACTTTTGCGTACGACTGCATTCAGCAACACATATTTTATACTAATACAACAACTGCTACTACTACTACTACTACTAATAATAATAATAATAATAATGATGATAACAATATTAATGATAATAATTATAATACAGTCTCCTCATATAGCAACTTTTGCATACGACTGCATTCAGCAACACATTTTATTCTAATACAACTGCTACTACTACTACTACTACTAATAATAATAATAATAATGATGATAACAATATTAATGATAATAATAATAATAATACAGTCTCCTCATATAGCAACTTTTGCATACGACTGCATTCAGCAACACATTTTATTCTATACAACAACTGCTGCTACTACTACTACTACTACTAATAATAATAATAATGATAATAATAATAATACTGTCCCCTCATATAGCATGTTTCTCACACTCAGTTACATTCGGAAGCAACAAGAGACCTTAAAAAAATGTCCGTCAAAGTTTCTTTATGGCGATGCTGTAGAAGAAGCACCTCTAGTTTGCCAACATGCTTAAGATTTTTGAGCTTTGAATGGTTTAAAAAACCTCCACATTATGTAGGGATTCTATATAAAGGGCTCTCCTAGAACCTTTACATTCTGTGGAGCTTCTTTAAACTTCTGCATGTTCTGCAGTCTCTCACATTTCATTTACAAAATGGTTCTTTAAAGAACCATCCACCGAAAAAAACTTCAGAGATGCAGAAGTGCTTCTTCTGTTGCTTTGTACGAAGAACCTTTTTGGTGCCCTTAATTTGTGCGTAGGAGGAAGAAAGGTTAGTGTGTTTTGATGTTTAAGTGACCACAGACTTATAAATAACAGACTCATATACAGTTCTATACAAGAGTCAGAGACCACATTTCATTTGTTTAATTTCCAGTCAAATCTGCTTTTAAGTACAGATTATTGATTTTTCAGCATCAAGGAAAAAGCAGAAAACATATTTAAAAGAAAGTCACACAGAAGCCTCTAAAACTAGATAATGTAATTTTAAAAAAATAATAAAAAATTATACACACTAAAGTTGTAGTCAAGACCACTGGAGCTGAGTCCAAGTTGAGACTTGAGACCTGAACACATTGAGTCTGAAGTTAAGTCTGAGTCAAGACCAAGACTTTGTAGGGGTCGAGTCCAACCAGACCGGAAGTAACAAGACCAGATTTAAATTTTTCAGAACATAAAAATATGAAGAAGAAAGGGGAAAAACTGAGACCCATTTTTAGTTCATTGTACATTCAGTGCTTCATTATACATGACATATATTAAAAGTCAATATTATATAGTACAATATATATTGTAAGATATAGCCTAAACATATTTTTAATTATTGTTGTATTATAGTCTTTAGTCCAACTTTTGCATTAGAACTTTTGGAAGTAAACGATAGAGAGGTTATTTTCTGTTCATTCCTCTCTAAAACAAATAATACCCAGTTAGGATGGAATGGATCACTTAGATCCTCATTGGCAAATTATATTTAAATATATAGAGAAAGGGCTGTTCTATTTGAAGGTTTGTTGCTATTCAGTATTGATAGAAATAGGTTCAGTTTCCAGTTACCTCAGTCGAGGACGATGTAAAGCTTACCCCAAGACCAAAACAAGACCAAGACTGTTTATCTGCAGTCTTGAGACTGGGCTTGAATACTACAACACAAGCATCCATGCTTTCAGTTTTTCCATACCTCTAAAGTTCACACTTTTGTGCTTTTTCAGTCCAAAAACCTCACCCCACATCTCAGGTGTCCAGTTCTGGTGTTTCATTGCAAATGTTCTTCTTTTTTGTCTATTTCCTTTTCTCACTTGGTGACAGCTACGCATCCTTTGGAAAAGGATTCAGGGCCATTAAAACCAGCACAACCAGTCATGCTAACAGCTCTTCCACCAGAGCTGTAGTGCTCAACCCTCCTTACTGTATTACAGTCTAACTCTTACAAAACAATACTCATTTGCACAGCTGTACAAATGTTGATTTCATTCATGTTCTCTATATAATAGTTATTATGTGTCTCCGTAGTCCATACATATGTGCAGATATTCACATATCTTTTTAGCTCATTTCACATTAGCTCTTTATCTATCCACTCATTCTTTATTCTGTTTTTTATTTGCTTGTATATTCTGGTCTGTGCGCTTGTCTGCCCTGTTCAGTATGTTACATGTCATACATGTGCACTCACCAATACAAATTCTTTGTGTGTGTAAAGTGATTCTGATTCTGACTCTTTCAGACCCAGAGCGTTGAGTATCTCTCACAGTGGAAGGATGGACAGAAAGACCTGTGGATTTTTTCAGATCTGAAGCAGCTTGATTTTCTCCTCTCTCTCAAAGATGAAAGCTTGAAGTTCTGTTTATCTGTCCCCTTTTTCGGGGACTCTTATTGTGGTCTACCAGGTTTTTCAGGTGGTTGTTAGGAGTACCCATTCTCCCTGTGTATTATAATGATTTTTTTTTTAACTGTGGTTGTGGTAACCCCTGTTTTTTCACTTGTTTTCCTTTGACTTTTCTGATCTCCTCAGTAATACCTGCTGAAAAATGAAATGCTGACCTCTGTGCATTACTTTATAATGGCTATTTCAGTAGTGTCCCACTTACTTGAGATGCATGTCAGTAGGTTCAGCTTGCCTAAACTTCCCCCCCTTCCCCCTTTTAGCTCTCTCTCTTTCTGTCTGTCGAACTCTTTCTCTCTTGCTTTTGCACACACTTGCCGTGTCTGACCCCTAGGTCAGGGTGAATTGACTTTGAGCCTTGTCTAACTGGGCCTCTTTGAGAGCAGCCCTCGCATTCCTGCTTGCTGCAGCGCTTATTACCAGCGCCAGGGAGGAAGTTTCTACCGGCAGGGATTATGCGCAGTTTCCTTGCCCAGAAGCTTTTGGGCTTTGTCCCCTCCCACTCTTGAAAAGCAGCGATTCCACAAACTAGAGGTGGTGGAAAAGGAGGGGGGGGTTATTAGTTAAAAGCAAACTTAAACCTGCTCCTTTTGCAATGCCTTTTTCTCCCTCCTCGTTTTTTCGGAGCTGGAAGAAGGAGCACGTTTCGGCCACGTTTTTGTACGGCGGGCGGCACAGAAGTGCATTGTGTTGGGACCGGAGTAGGGAGGGAGGAGGAGGAGGGTGCTGGAGGAGCACAGCTGCACGGCGCACAAGAGCCGGCTTCTCAGCCTGACAGGCAGGCAAGCAGCGAGAGGGAGAGAGCGAAACGAGGGCTCTTCCGCCGCTCTCTTGGGGGGGCCCCTCCGTCCAGCAGTCCCCCCCCACCAACCCCACAACCTCCCCACTCCTCCGCGCTACAGCAGCTCCGTCCGGGATTTTTATTTATTTATTTATTTATTTATTTATTTATTTTAAAATCAAAGCACCGAAATGTGGAATGGGCGCGGACGAGTGAAAGGATTCTGTTCCCTTCTTCTGTGGCTGGCTACTCAAATTCAGTACAGTGAGTACAACTCTACTCTTCGCTAAAGTTGCTCACACTCTCGCACTCGCACAAAGAGCCGTCCTTTTCACGATGCCCACAGGCGCTCTGCTTTCCATTTGTTGTCCGTGTCTGTCGTAAGTCTTTCAGAGTGCTTTTCTTTCTCGGTCAGAGCAGAACTACCTTATCATTTTTACAAAAGTGGCTGTCTGTGGGGAAAAAAAGAGGGCTTTGTGCTTTGCAAATTCCAGCCGTGCTTTAGGGTCACGGCCCTAAAAATGGTGTCTGTATGTTTGTACATACCAAAATACAGAATCCAATCAGATAACGGCTGATCATAAATCTGCCCAAGGCCTGCTGCACTGCACAAGTTTCTTTTTTCGCGCTTTTCCTGCTTCAGGTCTTTTTTTTTTGTTGTGTTTCACAACTTACATGAAATGTGCACTTGATTTGAACTTGGAAATGACTGAGGGACTTTTCGAACACTGTTTTTCTTTTTTTTCGGACTGTACAGTGCACTAAGTAGTTGCACAACTTAGGTGCTTGCTCCTGAGAGAATCGCACATGTTTTTTTCTTTGCAATAGGAAGTGACTAACTTATTGGAGGGAAAATGTATGTTTAGGTGTGCTACCCTGTAGTGTATTCACTGTTTGTGAAGTTCGGAAAGCTGTAGGGCCTTTTATGCAGCTTGCGCTGGAGAAATATTAAGGCCTAATAATGCCAGAACTGTTCTCTGGGCTTAGCAAGTAAGCAGCAAATAAATTTGTAGTTTTTCGCTGTGCAAATGCTTAAACAGGCCTGTAATGTTTACCATTCATTTACCATCTTGTCTTGTGACCATAAAGAATATTAATCACTGCAAACAGAATTTTCAGTCTGCCAAATTAATATGAAGAAGATTTCAGAACAGCTTTGCTTCTGTATGGAATTTATCGTAGTTTTTATTGTTGTTATTGTTCTGGTCTGTTTTTTCACCCCTGCTTATGACCCAATATACCAATATATTATATTATTTGTGTACCTCTTTTCTCAAGCAAATTTCAGTTTCCAAAAAGTTCAAAAATTGAGTACAGCCTCATTCATTTTTTTAAAGTGTTCTGTTAAATATAATCTTGTGGACTGAATTATCCTGTTTCTTTTAAAGTCGTTTGCTTCGGAGTCTCAAGGCCAAATTTTTGTGTTTTTTAATTTTTCATTATGCAGAACTTAAAAACTAGATTCCCGTCCCTGAGACAACCTTGTGACACAGGATTGAAATGTTTTGACAGGAGTTATTGGACTGCTTTCTTTTCACGAGTGGTATTTCAGAACATGGCCAGAGGCATGGAAAAAGAAATGTTAAAAAAATAAATAAATAGAAAAATGAAGAAAAAGAGAAAAATGGTTTCAGCCAGTGCTAATATTTTCCCTTTTTTTTAATATCTGAAATGGGGATATTGTGCCTTAACTGTCAGTTTTATAAATACACATACAGAGAAAGAGAGAGAGTGGCCTGCGCTGTATCTGGCCCTCTATTTTGGGTATATAGGTCAGTATCTTCTAAAGTAGCAGAATTGCACACCTTCTTATCGAGGGCTTATGAAGTCATTGTGGCAAGGGATTTATTTTTGGCCGAGGTCTTTGCTGTTCTCTAGGCATAAAGCAAGTTGTTGCCCGGACTTTTCTACCACACATCTACCCCCCACCACCCCCCCCCCCACCCCACACCCCGCAACTGCTCTCCTTTCGCAAGCTTTTCATAAGCTGCATGGCTTCCTTCCTTTTGAAATGTGCTGTGTGCTGTACAGTAGGCTCTGCGCTGACCTTAATGAGAGCTGCTCCAGATATTTTGACAGCAGTGTTCGAAAGAAAAGGGACATTATTATTGCGTGTGTGTGCTCAGTGGGCTGCAGAAGCAGCAGATCTAACGGCTAGTCAGGTGGATGTGGGCTTGCTCCCCCCCTCGACAGGCGGAACACTGGGTGCTCGATGTGTCTTAACTGCCTCGCAGGCTGTAAATGTGTCGTATTGCCATTTGCAGGGAAAAGAAGGAAAACCACAATTAGCCACAGTGTTTTATGAGCTGTTAGCTTCCAGGTGCTTGGTGGCAGGCCGAGGAACAGGAACCCCGCCTAGAACATGTTTTTCCAGGTATTACGTTTCTTCTTAAGCACCTTCTCGGCCTTGACGGACATGTTGTAAAAAAGGCAGGGTCACTTCTAAATTGGCTTTTCTAAATTGTGCACTTTCATTACTTTCAGGAACAAAAAAAACAGTCTAGAAGACAGTGATGTCTTTGCTTTTGGGGTAGGGTCAATGAGGTTTCGCAAAATACGAGCATTTTTTGGTGCAGCTAAGCTGGTTTTTATTTAAATTTGGTCTCCTGCATTTGACTTATTGCTGTGAAATTTGAATTATTCAAACTGTGCGCTCAGAAAAAGAATTGGGTGAGGCATAATCTTATCTGAGTGAAATGTAAATAGCATTTTTCTTTTTTTGCCATTCTACCACAGTCCATACAAATTTGAGGCTCTGATATAGTTAACACGAATGTAATTTCTATGAAAGACCCTAATTTTTAAATAATTCCATTTTTATTCAGTAAATTTTGAGCAAATTTCAAGTGTTAGTCATTTTTTAGCCTGCAAATGCAGCGAAAATAACCCTTATCCACCTCAGTACAGTGTCTCAGGCACAATATGACACTGTTTCAATCATAGATTTTCCACACTTGTCCATTGTGTGCCATTGAGGTACCCCATCCATAGTTGTTTTTTTGTCTCTCTCCCTCTCTTTCTCTCTCTCCCTCCTCTTGTTATCAGAGAAATGGCACTAAGGAGCTTTCTCCCTCACAGTCCCTCACCGGGCGAGCCATAAAAGAGATGATGTCATGTCTGAGCCGGAGACTGTGTGGCCATTCGCAGTGATCCGTTTCTTATTCAGCTCACTTGAATGGCACAAAGCTGAGTGAAAGGGATTGAGAGAAGGATTGGAACCCCCAACAAATTTACCACCGGCCCCAGGCTGCACACAGTTCCCAATCTGGCTGGATGTAAATGAAAACATTTGTTCGCAAAAATAAGTGGACGAAGGGCCGAATCTTTCCAAAAGAAGATGGAGGGAACGAACGCCCATTGTTTTGTAGCCCGCCATGCTGTTAGAAATTACACAGCTGGGTTTAAACAACAGGTTCTGAATTTGTAGCTGGACAGAAGCACAAAGGAATATTTGTAGTAAGTGTAACTGCGAAAGAGTTGTGGCTGACATGATGATGCTGTACAGTCCAGTGCAGTGCTACACAGCAAACTGGACTGTGATATCACTTCCTCCTCATTAGTAAGACCACGGCAGGGGCTCGTTGGAAGGGAAGACGTCTCCTTGTTTCAGAGGCGCGGGTTGTTCGTCCTGGCCCGTTTGAAACAACCAGGCTTCTTTTAACTCGCTCAGTGCTGTCCTTTTGATGGCCAGCCTGACAGGGTGGGGGTACATGCCGAGGCAGTCTTCATTAGGATGTTTTAGAGAGAGGGGCTGCTGGGGGTGTGTGGGGCGGGGGTGCTAAAGAATATATAAGGAAAGGGGAGTATTCCAGACACAAAAGGCAAAGGCAAATATTTAGTGTGAGACAATGGCTGCGCCAAGTAACTCACCATGGGGTTAACTTCTCCTATTGTCTGCTCGTAATTGGAGGATCAGCACAAGCAGAAAGTCACTGGTCGGTGCTGTGGTGGTCAAGTCTTTGGAAGTTGTGCTAACTCTAAGAAGAGGGGGAAGTTCTAATCACTTGGCTGACATTTTGCCAGCATTGTGAACCTGTAACCTGGTAAAAATGAGTTAAACTGGACTTTGGCATTGTCATTTTATGCAACTTTGCCATTTTTCCTGTCTTTTAACAGAAGAAATTGGTTATTTTTGTTTTGGAAAATCTCTTTATTTACATACAGTGCAGTTGCTGTATCTTAACTCACTCTATGAGACTGTAATGCTTTGTCAGTCATTTAACTAGAACGTAGTTATAGTAATTGCATTTAGAATCTCAACCTTCACTTATTTTCTAATTACTTGTTAAAGCTTAATTAGGTTTTAAAGATCGGTATCCACTTTCAAACAAAGATTTTGTTATTTTAGCCAAGATTCTGGTTATATTAAACTAAGAATGAAGGTTATATTGGTCCCCACATGGAAGAGCAAGCTTTAACATACTTTGAAGCTTTCAGTTTCTGTAGTTGCTCTGAAAGCCTCTAAATGTAGTCAGACTTCATACTGATGCCACCACCCTTTATTTAATTTCCAGTCAAAAACATTCATTATATTTCTGAAGAGAATCAGATATAAGACAATCAGTTTGCATAATGAAGGGGAAAGTCAAAGGAAAATAAGTAGGGGGAAAAATTCCAAAACAGGAGTACAAAAAATACAGACCACCAAAAGACAGACCACCAAAACTGTCCCTGTCAGATAAACTACTCTTAAAGCTTTCATCTTTAAGAGAAAATCAAGCTCCACTCTTTCTTCAGATGTGAAAGAAAGTCTGCAGGTGTTTCTGTTCAGACTTACACTATGAGATGACAACTCAACACTGTGGGTCTGAAAGGATGTGTAGCTCTCAGGAACCCCTTACTGAGAAAAGGAAAGAAACAGAAAAGAAGACAGTTTGCACTAGAACTAGACATTTGAGATGTGGAATGAGGTTTTTATGGACTGATGAATCTAAATTTGTAATTGGGATTATTAAGACTGAACTGTAGGTGTGGAAAAATATCCCAGCAGGTTTATGTGAAGAACTGGAAGCGAGTTTCCTGAAAAGAATGAAAGCTTTAATAAAGGTAAAGGGTGGACACCCTGAGTGTCGAATAAACTGATATTATATGGCTGCTGTCGTAACAAAATCTCCAGTACATGTCCATGTACATCATGAAATTTACTCACAATGTAAAGGGTAACGGGCATTTTCAAATTATGTCAAAAACTGGAAAACAGCAAAAATGGTGATGCAATGTTTTGTTCCAACAGCAGTGATATTTGGTTGTTGAGGCTTCTGTGT